TCTTTCCCTTCCTTTCCACCCCTCCTAGATATGGACTTTGAAGAACCAACAGTAACCCTTGAATGGGGCTAATGTTGCTTTCAAAGTTAACTCTGTCTTGGTACATTTGTATTGCCCGAGTGGCAAAAGTGGACTCTTTGCTCCTGGCTTACCTCCTGAAACGTGGGTGTAGACTGAGCTTGGTGTCCTACCCTACAAATGTGGAATAAGACACGACTTAGAAGTGCTGTAACGTTGATCTAGAATATATTTTTGTCGGTTTCTCTAGCAGTCATCCCTTCCCTTTACCCGCGTCCACCGACCCGCTTCTGTTTTTGGAGCCTTCTAGTATGGGTAGCCGGCAGGTGGTGCTGATGGATGCCTAGTGGTCCCTCCGCCGTCCCGGACCGCCACTGCCCGCTCCCCCAGTGCCCAGCCCGGCTAGAGCCCACCGGCAGCCGGGCCCGGCACTGGCCTCCTGGGTCTTCCTTGTTCGGCACTTAATTCCTGCTTACTGCAAAACAAAGTAAAAAAAAAAAAAAAAAAAAAAAAAAAACCAACAACCCAGAAAACCACAAAGTGAAACAACTTGGTGTGGAGCTGTAGCTTATCTTAAAGCTGAGGAGATAATGGGGGTTGAAAGATGTACTGACTGGGTAGCCTTGAAAATTGCTAAGTAGAAGTACTGTGATCAATGGAACAACTTAGTAGCAAGAATTAAGACTGAAATAAGCAGGTAAATATTGAAACAAGCTTTGCTTATCAGTCCCTAATAATGACTTTTTAAAACCTTCACAGAATGTCAGTTCACCTTTGAGAAGGCTATAGAGTACGTACCATTCGGTATGTACACTCTCTCCTCTATTTATAATGTTCCTCTTGGGAGGATTTTTTTGATTGTACAATACTGTTTTTATGAACATCGAAACCCTCTTTATAAGACAACCTCGCTTGACTTCTCAGGAAAAAAATATTGAATTGAAATGAACTGCATGAGAGTTTGTATTTCTTGTAGGCTATAGAATGTTAACAGTTTTAACTTACTAATAATTCCTAAAGAAAATTATTCCAGAATTTGTACCTGTTCTTGTTTGGGTTTTGTTTTTGTTTGTTTTGTTTTTTTTTTTTTTAAATCTTGTCCATGGTTTTTTATGTGTTAAAAACTTTTTGTCTTTTTATGTCTCATTTTTAGAAGCTGCTAACTTGTGCCAAACCTCCACTGCTGCTACTACGCCTGTGACTCTTACTACTCCATTCAATATAACGTCCTCTGTGGCTTCTGGGACTATCACAAACCCAGTCACAGTGGCAGCTGCAATGAGCATGAGAAGTCCAGTAAATGTATCAAGTGCAGTTAATATATCCAGTCCGATGAACCTAGGGCATCCTGTAACTATAACAAGTCCATTATCCATGACATCTCCATTAACGCTCACCACACCAGTCAATTTACCTACCCCAGTAACCGCTCCAGTGAATATAGCGCATCCAGTCACTATAACGTCTCCCATGAACCTCCCCACACCAATGACGTTAGCTGGTCCGTTAAATATAGCAATGAGACCAGTAGAGAGCATGCCTTTCCTGCCCCAGGCCTTGCCCACGTCTCCTCCCTGGTAAAGAATTTCTAAACAGTATTAAAAAGGATTAAAATGGAATCCTTACCAGCAGTTCTTTTTTGGGTTTTGTTTGGTTGGGTTTTTTTTTTTGTTGTTTTTTTGTTTTGTTTTTTTGTTTTGTTTTAGTTAATAATAAATTCAGACTAAGACACTGGGGCAACATGCACCATCAGAGACCATAGTAGCATCTTCCCCTGTTGATTTGGCTCATATGGTTCAAACTTGAGTTTCGCTGGAGCACTTCATTGAAAGTAAGTTTTACCTTCTAGCTGACTGATGCTGAATTAGAGCAGATACTTATTTGCCAGAGTTTTTTTTTAAAAAAAAGGTCATTAAAAAACAGTTTTATGTTTTATCCCCCAAATTATAACTTAGAAAATTATTTTAATCTAAACACTAGCAAAGACCCCTCTGTATCTAACAGGGTGGATGGCTAATTTTAACTTGCCAGTTGTTAAGTCCACTGTTTCTGAGCTAGTGTAGAATCTTTGTCTGTGTTGATTGTTTTTTTTTTTTTTTTAAATGAGTAAATGCATTACAATGTTGTCATTTAAAAAAAAAATGCATTTTGGAGAAAATATGCATTTTACCTTTGGGAATATGATAATTTCAGGCAGCATTCCCTATGGGAAAGGTGATACCAGCTCTGATATGCAAAGCATATGATAACTTATCATTCTAACTTCAACATATAATAGGGATTGTGACCTGATATTTGGAGATGTAAATATTACCCAGCATATTACCCTAAGGGAATATAGCATTGTAGTCAACATTTTTTTTAAAAAAACTGTTACTGTTTGGTGAGAAACAGCCATGGCTGACAGAAGAGGAGTCAAAATGTATGTAAACATGGTCTCTGAACAGTCAGACCCCTATGGGACTCTTACCTAGGAGCAAAAGGAGTGCTTTGAAACTTAAGAAATATTGCTTTAAGCTGGAAGATTCTGGAGGCACTGGGTATGATTTTTATGCCCTCTGCCTCCCAATCAGAGCCTGCTGGTGTTACAGCAGGGGACAGACGTGTTAGTTGTTCACTAGAAGTTTTGTCTTATATTAAATTGTATACAGTTTTTATTCTAACCACTAACTAGGTAGGATGCCCCTCCAGGACAAGCAGAGAGTGTCTTTTAATTTCTCCCCTATTTCTTAATCAAGTGTTGTGCAGATCTGTTCAACTTTGTAAATATTTGCAAACATCATCATTTTTACGTTATTCTTCTATTGTGTTAACACATTTCTATCAATTTGTGGGAGTTCTGGGGTGATGGTTTGAACTGTCCAGCCCAGAACTTCTCCACAAATGGTCACACATGTTTAAGCTACATGTGCTTTTTATTTCTTAACCTGTTTATCTGTACATAAAGTAGAAAGCAAAATCTAGGGAAACAGATATACTTTTTAGACTATCATGTCACATATTCACATTTTTAAAACTTTGTTTAAAAAAAAACCACCCTAAACCCAAGACTACATTAAAAAAAAAATAAAAATTACAGTTGAGATGTTTTTATCTTAATGAAGTTGAAAGCGATGGAGATTAGCATGTGCGCATTTTCACAGAGTGCTAGCAGGACTGACTAGTCAAAATGGACTGCTCCGTTTCTACCCTGCCGTGTCAGTACAAGCAGTGATTGCCAGGCTGCTGGCTCAGGTGACAGGTATCTGTATCATTACGTGAAACTGTTCTAGGGGCTTGGACTACATAGTAAAACAAAAACAAAAAAAAAAATAGAGCTTAGTGTAAAATAATTTTATAAATGATCTTTTGTACTTTAGGACATCAAATTGTACAACTTTTGTATATATAAAAGCTTAGGAACTTTCTGTTTAGCAGAAAGGAAACACATTCCTACACTTTTAATGTATATGTTTGTTATAATGTCCATGTAAACATATGCCCTATGTTTGTGCCTTTTAATTAGTTTGTCTCAATAAACAAAAATGTAGAGAAGAATATGTAGCTATGACTTTGTTACCACTGTTCTGACTCCAGATGTGTAGAGGTCTTCGTTTTTGCACTGTGTAGAGCATTGCGTGCAGGCAGCTGCATGACTTAGGCTGGTACGGCCGAAACGAGGCATGTGAAGCGAACGCGCCCCAGCAAAACTCCTTCCTCCCGTAGCATAGAGCAGCCCGCGCTGGTGGGGCGTTGCATGTTGGGATGTGTAGTTTCCAAGCCACCTCTGTTACCCCTGGCAATGATACCAACTTCCACCAGTTTTACATAGTAGGTGTAGCATTCTGGATCTGGGTGACTTGCAGAGATGACCCTTAGATGAAGTTTGGGTGTCCCTGAGTTTAAAAAACCAAAAGCATTAAAAGCCAATATGAAAATGTGTACTAGAAGTGATTATCTATGAATAACTTACAATAAACAGGTGTGAGACTTAATTGTATGTTGTCAATTACTGCAGTAGTGACAGTGGGTCCTCTGTCCAGCTAGCGTGCCCTGCTGATGTTATTTTTATCCCAGCAGAGTAGCAGTAGAATAAACACATTAAACACCAGCAAGGAAATTTTTCAATGTGACAGAGGCTTCCCAAGCCACTAACCATGGTGCTCTTAGAATGGGATAGGAAAAGGGCCGTTTCCTTTTTGTGTTGGTTCTGCTCGAATGTACCTGGTTTATGTCCACAAAGCTACATTAGCTAATTGTCAACCTGTTTCATTTGTACTTGGGTAAACATTTGCTTTGTACTGTGTATAAATGGTTCCGAGGTGTGCTCCTCAGCTGTCTCAATACAGACATTAATTTCACTTGTAATGCCATCATACGAAATACATTAAGCTGTTTTTTGGCAAACGAAAGCTACCTGGTCAAGTAGTTTTATACGGCATGCATACTACCTTGTAGTCGCTGGTTCACCCACAGTACGAGGAGGCAATAAGGCCAGCTGCTGTAGGGAGACGATGCGTAGGTGCACAACAGCGATGAGCGATTCGTATGGCGACTCGTGTCACTGCAGCAGTGGGAAGTTAAGACCGTAAGAAAATGGTGGATGTGAAGAACAGATGCTCCTGTTACACCGAGTTAGTTTCTGTGCAGCTGATGCGCTTAGCCTGGTTTATTTCATGGAAACTTTTAAGCTGGATCTGGTCCAACATCCAGGGAAGCCTATAGCTGCCATTGATTTGAGTGGGTTTTATATCGAGCCCATTCAGGTCTCCGATTGCAAGTCGTTCAATAGGGGTTTTATTTTCTTCTTCTTAAGTTTCCATAAGCATTCAGCATGAGGTTAATGGCTTAGCACCGACCAAAAGTTTTAAAGTTGAATTTTGCCTTGGAAGGATTTGTGCTGTGGGAAGTCAGAACAGTCAGATCAGTGGCATGAAAACTCGTCCTCCGGGCAAGGAGAGCCTCCGGGTGCCTGGCTGTGCTGGCGAGGCGCTGCGGGGAAGCAGGCCACGGGGAAGTAAGTATTATGGCACAGCCACCCACGCTGCCAGGGAATCGTGTAAATGGTTTAACTTGGGCACAATTTTTTTTTCTTTTAGTTGGAACACCCCACCACTTCCAGGGGGTGTTTGGGGTGAGCAGAAATCTGGGATTCAATCTTCTATGTCTTGCCATCAGAGAGTTATTTATACCTGAGTGTTGTAAATTGAAAGATTTCTGTTCAGTCAAGATCACAGAGGAGAGAAAAAAACACGTGTTATTCTCGGCGCATGAGTTAAATTCTATTTGCCATTGTTCACAAATAAAAGATTTTTTTTCCCCTCTTACAATAACTTTTTCTTTAGAGTGGCAGAAGAAAAAAAAAAGTACTTAATGTTTGCATTTGCTCACGAGAGGTTTAAAGAAAAACACCAAAAACCCAGTAAGCTGTTTTAGCTGCAGCAATCCCAGGTTACATAAAGGGGCCGGGGTTGCCGAGGGATTAGTCGGTGGCATTACTGGTGGTGATAAGCCCTCCGAGTTCTGCTCGCTCTTCGCTTACTTTTATTTTAGAAACAGTCACTCTGAGCTGTATTTTGAAAACTGCCTGGGGTTAATTTTCAAGGCTGTCAGGGTTAGATTCCTACCAAAGAAAGAAGGAAAGGAAATTTGGGTTTAAAGAACACTGAGGTTTTTCAAAGCATCCAGTACTCTGATTTTTTTTTTTTTAATCTCAGGGTCCCCATATGGGAGCTGAGTTGTTGAGAAGTGGACTACAGTTTTTCACTGCTGGGTCCTTCTGAAAAATCCTGCTGTGCTTTATTGGTGGCTTAGTTTATCTATTTCAAAAATAGATTTAACAGTATTTTCAAAAGGCAGCTATTAAAAGCACTACAAGTTTTTAAATGCCTTTGAGGTCTGTCTCAGTGCTTAAGTGGCCCTTTTTACTGGTGCTTTTTAGGATAAATATTAAGTGTAAAAATAAATCTCTTCCTCTCCTAATTGTCATGCAGAATAAAAGTTAAAACTCAATCCCCTTCTACCTATCATTTAATTCAGCATGTTTATACTTCTTGCTTATCTTTGGATCATTTGCTCACAGCTTCCAGAGCAGCAACTGAAGGATGACGGAGGAACTAGGAGCTAATTTTTATGTCAAAAATAGCTTTCACCTTTAAACGCACAAGACTCAATGACTGTTTTCTAATTAGAAAAAGAATGCCTTAAGCTTCTATTGCGAATCCATTTTACAGCTGTGTTCAGATTTGACTGTCAGCCCCTGGTTAAAATTTAGTACCGAGGTTTCGACCTAGAAACAAACCTTTTTTGGTATTGGTTTGGAAAAAGTATTTCAGTGCTAAGAGAAACTGAGCCAGGCTGTCCAGCTAGCTCGCTCATTGCTGGCTGGCAAGAGCGTTCAGTGTTAAATTAATTTTGTTGTACATTGCACCTCCCTGCAACCCAAGTTAAAGAAATCTGGGAAAGCTGGGCTTACGATTTTTAAAAATAATGCATTTTTTTTGTTCTTCAGGTTTCTGGGCTAATTTGAGCCAGTTTTAAAAGCCCTGGATTTTTCTTGAAGGAAGCATAAATGCTTTTTGAAATCCAGACATTTGTAGAACATTTCAATGTGGGCATCTGAAATTACTGCTTGCGTCAGAGTATAGACCTTTGCTTTCCTTGCAAAGCATTTCCAGTAGCTACCTCCAAAATCAACCCATTTAGTAAAAAAACAAGGGGCATTTTCAGAATGTATGGCACCTTTTGTTTTTCAGAGAAGGCGGAAGTACTGCATTCACCTTTTCACTTAGTTGTTCTGGCCAGCTGTCAAGACAAAAAATTGTGTTCTCCGTGCAAGGTTTGTTTTGCAGGGGATTACCAATTTAGTTGGAACGGGCTGAATTAAATTCAGTATTTCAATTCTTCATAGTTGT